AGAAAGACAGCCTGAGACCTGGGGAGGTTAGAAGGTTAGGAAGAGTGAGCCAGCAGACCTGGGCTTTTTGTATGATCAGTTACCCTTACCCAGGAGTAAACTGAGGCATTTCCTTGCACCAGTCCCCCAGGCATTGTCTGGCAGACTGAGAGAGCTAGGCACAAAGATCAAATGAGGCTCTCTTTGTGGCCTTGTGCAGGCTTGCAAATGCATTTCCTCTCTAATAACCTCAGCCTGATTGGAAGTGACTGGATGCTATATTAAGCAGGATTTTGAGGCCTCAATTTGGCATTGCAGGAAATAATATCATGATTAATTAGTAATATTTGCCACAGAGAGAAAATGAGAAGGAATATCTATATGCTGCAGAGCTGCCACCCCAGGGCTTATAGCTGACTAAGCCCAGGCATTGGAGTCTGGGTAGCTTGGAACCAAATCTCACTCTGTTCTTCTGGGTACCAGTCTGTTTATCCCTGAAATGGATTTGTATAAGTCAGACTATGGCTTCAGTGCTGTAACAAAGATACCTCATACTACTTTGGCTTAATATAAGTTTGAAGTTTCTTTCTCTTGTGTTGAAGAAAAGAGAGGTAGATGAGCTATTCTGTGCTGACAGGTGGCAGGGAAACTATTCTGCCATCCTCATGTGTCACTCGTGGGTCTAAGAGGACTGCTGTCATTCTTGCCATTCCATTTGTGAGCCAGATGGAAAGGGAACTGGACTAGGGAAGCACATGTCCAGTGGTTTCAGAGGTAACCCACAAGCCGCCCATGTCACACTCATTTACTATTTAAGCAGAATAGTCGCTTGACTCCCCCTATGTGTGACTTGCTGGGAAGTTGAGTTTTTAGTTGGGAAGTCCTGTGCCTACCTTGCACCCTGAGCAGCAGAGAAGGAGGAAGTAAGTATTGGGATGAGATGCTCAGGGCACTGCTGGGCATGTCTTGGGGTCAGTAGGCCTGGTGGCAGCATGTGGGCACCTCTGGTACATGACAGGCCTTTCCCAAGCTCACAGGTGGCTCCCTCTCCTTGCCCAGGAGCTGGTGCATATCCTACACAAGGCACTGGAGGCTGCCCAGCAGGAGAAGAGGGCTTCCAGCTCATTCCTGGCTGCAGCTGAGGACAAGGACCGGCTGGAGTTGGTACGGCACCAGGTGCGGCAGATCGCAGAGCTTGGCCGGAGAGTGGAGGCCCTGGAGCAGGAGCGAGATAGCTTAGCACACTCAGTCAGCCTGCGCGAGCGGGAGGTGCAAGAGCTTCAGGAGCACGTGCAGCTGCTCATGGACAAGAACCAGGCCAAGCAGCAGGTCATCTGCAAGCTGTCTGAGAAGGTCACCCAGGACTTCACGCAGCCCCCCGAGGAGCCCCGCTTGCCTCCCAACCCCACTGACAGGGACCTCCTAAGCCAGGAGGAGAGGATGGAGCATCTGAAGGTAAGGCCTCCCCATCCTCAGGATGCTGTCTCAATGCTAATGGTTTTCTAGATGGAGCAATAGTTTCCCTCCAGCTCAACAGTCATACTGGAAAGAGGTACATTTGGAAAAATTGCTTTTTGCTCCCTCACTGTCTTCATTTCATGACATCCTGGGTTGCTAAAAAGTACAAGTGTCTATAACTTATCAAATTCAAGATGAAAGATCCAGGATGTACAGTCTGGAGCCTGACCTAAGTAGCCTGCCTTAGTGCTGTTCCAACACCCCCAAATTTCTGAGGTGCCTGGGCTGCCCTTCCAGTAGTCCTACACATGATTCAGGTGACCTGTGCTAGCTGTGACTTGCTTGTAATGATGACAGTGATCTCTGTCCCATTTATGGAACTGGTCGGATGTTCACTGTGGGCCAACCATTTTGCATGCTTCTTTCTCCTCACATCAGCCCTTGGAGCAGTCCCTTGCAGAAAGTAATTTTGAGACTGAGCAAAGAAACTGATCTGGCCTCCTTGGAGGTAGGGGCACTAGGACTGGGCTAGAATTCATATCTGCTGATCTGTTCTGCTGCCTTTTGGCCACTCTGCCTCTTCTATGGTAGCTCTTGCCCTGTCATACCTCACCTTTCCTGCTCTGCCCATGTCTCTCCAGGCTGCTCCAGCCCTCAAGGACCCACTGACACACAGGCACCAGGAACTTTAGTTGAGGTGTAGTGCCTGCCATGGCCTGCAGCCTCCTCTCTAGAAGGCTGTCACAGGAACACCCAGCCATAGGGTGTTCATACTTCCCATTGTGCCTCAAGGCAGCCGTGTAGAGCCAGGGCCAGTGCTGCCCAAATGAAGGAGGCAGTGGGAATGCAGAACAGCAGCCAAGCCATTATGGGAGGCCTCCCACCGGAGTCCATGCTCTGCCTCCTGCTAGTCATGTGGCTGTGGGCAAGTTCTCTAACCTCTGTCAAGTAGCCTAACCAGAATAAAGGAAGAGAACCTGAAACCCAGCTTCTTTTTTTTCTTTGCAAAAGCTAAAAATAATATAAAAAACTAGTCCTAGAAGTGCTTATTAGTCTAAATCAGAGTCTTCTGGTTTAGAACAAAACCAAAGGTTTCACATGCAGATGCAGCTAGACAGCTAGGAATGTGTTCTAGTCAGTGGGGTACGTTCTTCTGCCCTGCCCCAGCCCCAGCCCCAGCCCCAGTCTTCAGCAGAGTGGCACAGAGGCCAGAAGGTAGATGAGGCTGCCTAAGAGCTGCTTGGCACCATGGACTTTACTAGGAGCCTGGGTATGCCCTGAATTTACATCTTTTGTTTTTATTTTAGTAGTGAGCCCAGATAGAAGGAGACTGCAGTGTGATTCACATCCATGTGGTTCTTATATTTTAGATCATCCTCCAGTGTCTTGTGCTTCATTGAGTTGCATGTAGCAGACATTTTTTAAAATTTAGCTTTTAGAAGATCCCTCAAATACCTATCGTCCTTAAATGTGGCCCTGGAGAGCTTGCATGTTTCTTGCTTGCCTTGTTTTGGAAACTCATTTTAGGCCATACCACCCAGACGAGGCTGGACCTGCAGGAACCACCTTGAATGTGCCTGGTCTTGTCCCCTTGTGGAAGCTAAGCAAGGCTGGGCCTGGTTAATATTTGAATGGGAGACTATCATTTTAAAAACAGAATCATTGATCTCTGGAGTACCAGGGCCAGAAAGACTCAGAAGCCTGGTATGCCCCTCCTTTTCTGGAATAAACCGATCCAGAGTCACACATGAAAGGAGCCAGCAGAAGCCCTAGGTCTCCTCACACAGCACCAGCCTTGCTATCCACAGAAAGCCCCCAGGCACTTTCAGAGGAAAGCTCCTGATCCAATAAAGGCCGCAGCTGCTGCTCTCTGCTTCCAGGCCCCCTTTCCACCTTTGTCTTCTGCTGTGCTAGTGACTGTCCTGTGGCTTTCTCTGCTCTGAGGTTTCTGTTTTTCCTCCCTACAGTTCTGAGCCAAGGAGAACACTCAAGGCAGGGCAACAAGCTGAATGGAAGGGTCACTGCCCTCTCTCTACTACTGCTGAATGGTTGCTGCTCTGTTGCTACCCTCTCTACTACTGCTCCAAGGGTGCTCACACCACCCCAGTCTGGGCACGTTGGTGCCTCTTCTAGAAGTGGAAGCAGGGCACTGCATGTGACAGAAGCCTTGGAAGTGCCTGTGAGTGATTTATAGGTCTGAATGCAGTGTTAACACTTCTCAGCTATGATGGGAAGGTAACAAAGAGGCGGCAGCCAGTATGTTGTGGAGCAGTCGGCAGTGTTTGCTGGTGCTCACTCTGAGCCAACCAACCTGGGCTTGGGTCCTGGCTCCCCAAGCCCTGCCCCACACCAGCTGCAGGACAGAGGACCATCCCTACTCAGTGCTTGTTTCCTCAGCTGTAAAGTAAGGATGTCATACAAGTAATGTGACCCCACCATCCCTGCCCCTAACCTGTACCAGCAGCAATGATGGCACTCAGCCAGTGTGCACATCTTTAAAGTCCTATTATACTGCCTGCAGGTCAGCCTACATGTATTAGCTGGAGACTGCAGAGGACCTCCTTGGGAGGTGGACACTAGAATATGGGCTTTCTGGTGGCCTCCAGGTAGGAGGGAGCTCAGCGAGTGACCAGGCAGGAATTGTAGTAGTCACTTATTGAACCCACAGACCTAGGCCTGGTCACTGACAAGTTCCTTTCCCTTTAGGGTCCCTGAGGCATCCTCTGTGTTTCCAGGGATGACAAACATTTTTTCTAGAGGTGCTGGGAGGCTGTTTTTCAGTGGGAAAGGGGGCCACATGGGGAGACATACTGAAAAGTCAGATTCATGTGGTTGGGGCATGATCCTGGGAAATCTGCCATTTCCAGGAGGTCAGTCCTTGTGCCACAGACAACAGGCTTCTCTGGCAGGACCTCACAGCTCTCTGCTACATAAGGATAAGGAAGTGGGAGTCAAAGTGGGAGCAGACAGCTTTGCCCAGAGGAACAGCTGCACTCACCAGCAACATTTCTGAGAGACACGGAGCCTGGATTCTCATCCAGCCTAGGAACATGGTTAGAGAGAAGGACAGGCCTGGGGAGGTGGGTGACAAGCTCCAGGCCAGGAGAGCAGAGAGTGAGCATAGCAGTGCACAGCCTTTTGGCCCAGGCACCAGGCTACTGAGAGCTGGCCATAGCCAAGTGGGAGACACCTTGGGGAGCCCATCAGAGGTATGAGTCCACCTGAGGGAGTCAGCCTAGAGCTTCATTTCCAGCTACGGGAGCCCAAAGACAGAGGCCTTCTCTGAGTGAGCCATTTGGGCAAAGGGCAGCAGCCTCAAGTAGGAAATGGATCTGCTGGGAGGGCCTTGAGGGTCGTGTTGGCCAGAATGCAGACCACCTAGCAAGGGCTAAGGCCATCTGGGGACTGGGCAAATGTGGCTTCTTCTGATGAAGTGTCACATGCTACAAGTGATTCTTTTCCTGTCTGGGCACATAGGGCCTATCTTAGCTTAGCACCCCCTACACCTCCCAAGCCCAGGGCATTTCCTGAGCAGGAAAAGAAGGGGTGGGTGGAAGGAGAACACACCCTGCATCCTTAGGCATGACTGTTTGAATAGCTTCTGGGATGTCCTTCCCAGAAGAATAAAGATGATGACCCGTGGCTGTAGCCCTGGTCCTTGTGTGACCCTTTCCAAGGTCTGTCAAGCCTTGTTTGTGCTCCAGCAGTGGGTTTGCCCTACCTCCATGGGCAGTGCACACGGAACGGGAGCTGTGGGCTCAGCCGTGTATCATAGCAGTATTCACAATCGAAGACCAGCTGGAAACATGGTGGCTCAAGGTCTAAAAGTAAGTTATAAATTCACCCAGTAGAAGAGTCATCAGTCACTAAAAATGATCACTGGCTCTGAGCACAGTGGCACACCCCTGCAACTCAACTACTTGAGAAGCCAATACAAGATTGCAAGTTCAAGGCCAGGCTGGGCAATTAGCAAGACTCTGTCTCTTATAAGAAATAAAGGTGGTGGTGGGGGAGTGAATAGGTAGTTCAGTAGCAATGCTTAGTGTGGTTGAGGCCCCGAGTTTAATCCCTAGCACCAGAATAAATGATCATTGGGAAACTTATTGAACAACATAAAGCAGTATTTGTAAAGTAACACCTTGCCAAAAATTTCTGCAGCATGATTTCAAGTATCTGATAAAATGTGTTGCTTTTAAAAAGACACTACTTGAGCACTTGTTGTGTTGGCATGTGTTAGAATATCCCTTACTGCCTAGTGGGGTAGCTGATATTGCCCCTTTTACAGACAAGGAGACAGAGTCAGAGTAGTTTTGGGATGCGTCTAAAGCCTCTGGCCCTGGATGTCAGAGCCAGGATCGGAAATGCAGGTCTAGCACTCTACCAAGTATGTTGGGAACAAGAATAGAGGAAGCTATGGGTGATCTTTTTCCTTTTGTTTATTTCTTTTTTTTTTCTTTCTGTTTTTTTTTTGTTTGTTTGTTTGTTTTGTTTTTTGACAAGGTCTCTCTATGTAGTCCACACTGTTTTTGAATGCACTATGTAGCCTAGACTGGCCTTGAACTCCTGCTTCAGCCTTCTCCAAGTGTTTGGTTTATAGATGTCGGTGTCTATACCCAGCTCTAGAATTCCCAATATGACTTATTGGGAGTTTCTCAGGAAAAGAAGCTTTGATAGCTCACTTAAGGGCATGTCCCTCAAGTCCAGGAAGATGTCTGTGGTACATCTCCTGACGTGTTTTGCTCTCTTCTTTAGGACGACATGGAAGCATACCAGACCCAGAACCGCTTCCTCAACTCTGAGATCCACCAGGTTACCAAGATCTGGAGGAAGGTGGCTGAGAAGGAGAAGGCCCTGCTGATGAAGGTGTGAGTGGGAGCTAGTGACATCTCCAGACCCACCCCTCACGGTTCCATGCCACCCACAGCCCACTTTCCTTACCCCTCAGGAGCAAGGTTGGGTCAGCTTCTCCAGGCCCCTGTGGAGATGGTCCCATCAAGACCAATGAGCTTGTTTGCTGTCCCCAAGTGCACAGCAGGCAGTCAGCCCAGGAGGAGGTGGAGCTGGAGTCAAGCTGTGACTATGCTGTGGGTTGACTTTCACTGTCCCCATCTCAAAAGACAGAAAGAAAGGTGCTGAGCAGTTACATAGCTTTCCAGGAGAGGATCCAAGGTGTTCTGGGCCAGGGGAGAAGATGCAAGAAAGCCAGAGGTGGAAGCACAGGGGTATGATGGAGAAACAAGAAGTACTGTGTCACTGATCATCCCCAGAGGCAGACTCTGTGTTACCCTCATTTTAGCAATGAAGAAGCTAAGGCACAGAGAGGTTAAGTAACTTGACATAGGCCACACAGCAAGGATGAACTAAGAGGGCACTATAGGCTGTGCAGAGCCTGGGCTCCCTTCTCTCCTCTCAGATCTCCTCTTGCCTACTTTGATTTAAGCCCCTGGTGCTGGGCCACTATCCTTTCCTCTGTGTACAGATTGAGGGAAGGGCAGAAGAGAGCTGCAAGGGCTTTGCTGCCGTCCAGGCCTCAGACCTTGGTGGCCTGACCAGCCACCCCCCACCCCCTGCCCCTCCCACAGTGCGCCTACCTCCAAGCCAGGAACTGCCAAGTGGAAAGCAAGTACCTGGCAGGGCTGCGGAGGCTGCAGGAGGCCAAGGCTGGGGAGTGCTCTGAGCTGCTGCGGCAGCTCATCCAAGAGGCGCTGCAGGGGGACACTGGTGTGGCCTCGGCAGACAGTGTGGAGCTGAGCCCTGTCAGGTGAGTAGTCCTGGCTACTTCATCCAGGACTCTGCTGCCCTTCCTGCTGTGTGTGGGGCTCCTGACAAATGAGTGTGGGGCCAGAGGTAGACAGCAGACTCAGGAAGCAGCACCCTGCCCAAGGCCACACAGTCCATTGTGCAGCTTGTGGGCTCCCTCCCAAGAGTTCTTGTCACAGACCAGAAGAGAGGAGACAAATCGCTCTCTCCTCCTTGAACCCTGCTCTTCACTGCACACAGTGATCCCAAGTACTTGTATATAATACAGCAGGAGAGGTCCCTGGAGGCTAGACAGCACACTGGCAGGAGCCGGGGTTTTGAGGCTAGGCGTGGCTCTCTTAATGACATAGGATAGGTCACTTTAGCTTTCTGAGCCTCCTGTTCAGCCTCTATAAGATGTAGGCCAAGACCCCTGCTTGGCAGGGTCATTGGAATTGGTGGGGATAGCTCAGACAGGCATGTGCAAGGGCAAATACATGCTGAGTATGTGAAAGTCCACTGTCGTGTGCCCCAGCTCTCCCACCTCTGCTTGTCACTGGCAGCCATCCTGGAGCCTGGCAGCTATGGGACATGGGGTAATGCAGCAACATGGCAGGTTCCCCAGCAGAAGGCTTCAGGGGTACTCAGAGAACCCTATGCTGCAAGGGATGAGTGAGCATCTCCTGGGTCTGTGCAGCAGGCACCTCCAGGCCTCCAGCAGTTATAGCAGAGGCTCTTACTGGGTCTTCAGAAAGCAAAATAGGGAGGCCGGGGAAATGGCTCAGTAGAATAAGTGCTTCCCTGGCAAGCGCAACGGCCTGAGTTCAATCCCCAGTTCCGCAAAAAAAAAAAAAAAAAGAAAGAAAGAAAAATAGGAGTTCTCCCACTATACACGTAAGTAAACTGAGGCTAGGAGAACCAACATTCTGCCCAGAGCTGCATGCCTTGCCAAGGCCAGTGAAGGCCAATGCCTGACCTAGTATTCCCCATCTACCCCTAAACTAGGAAAGGGCTCTTCCTACAGGGTGTGGCTAACATGGACTTTTGCTGACAGTGAGTATGACGAGTATGGCTTCCTGACAGTACCTGACTATGAGATGGAAGACCTAAAGCTGCTGGCCAAGATCCAAGCACTGGAGGTGCGCTCCCACCACCTGCTGGAGCTCGAGGCAGTGGAGCGGCCACTGCAGCAGCGCTGGGCTGCGCTGGGTGAGCTGGCACCCTCGGCTGAGCTGAAGCAGCTGCTGCGCGCGGGAGTGCCCCATGAGCACCGGCCACGCGTCTGGAAGTGGCTGGTCCACCGCCGTGTCCAGCACCTGCACACCCCAGGCTGCTACCAGGAGCTGCTGAGTCAGGGTCGGGCCTGTGAGCACCCTGCTGCCCGCCAGATCGAGCTGGACCTGAACCGGACTTTCCCTAACAACAAGCACTTCACATGTCCAACCTCCAGCTTCCCTGACAAGCTGCGTCGGGTACTACTGGCCTTCTCCTGGCAGAATCCCACCATCGGGTACTGCCAGGGCCTGAACAGGTGAGCCACTGTGGTCCCAAGGAGGACGAGGCCTTTGCCTACCAGAGCACTCACTGCCACAACTCTTGGGGATATCCTGAGACCCTAGAAGTGTGAGCCCAGGACACCAGGGCCAGAGCTCAAGCCCTTTGTCCACTTTAAGTTTGAAAGGTGCCAGTCGCCCAAAACCATAGGGTGGTTAGTGCAGCCCAGTTTATGTGCAGAACTGGCCCGATCAGGATCATCTGCACCAAGGGAGCCCAGAGCAGTGCAAGGAGAGAAGACATTGTACAGGGGCCTGAAGGAAGCCAGGAAAAGCAAGCAGGCAAAGGCTACTCGCCCAGCAGGGCCGCAGCTCAGCACAGCCCTGGGTCAGTCTCTGGATTCTCTCCAGTGAGCGCCACCCTGAGACGCATGGCTCGCAGCTGCACTCTGCAGTGGCCCCACTCTGGACTCCCTTGTTCTGCATGTTGATCTCTCCTCTTGGTGCACCAGCCTCTGCTCACTCACTCTTTGCACGCATGTGGTTGTTTGAGGCTGTCAGTGGACGTCTCAGCCCTGGAGTCACAGGTCTTTGGCTTGTTTTCCCATCCTGCCTCTCAAGTCTAGCCACTCTGTCCAGGTTGGAAAGTCCAAAGAAGGTATCCACATGGCCCCGTCTGGGTTACTTCCCATTTCTGGTCTGATCAGTAGGGGAGGAATAAAATGAGGTTGCATTTAGAGGGGCTTATAGGGCTGCCCCTTCTAAAACTGGGAGGATAGTCTCGTGGACACCCTAGGTGCTGCTGTAGAAATGCCATAGAGTATTTCCTTTCCTGAGCCCCCCAGTTAATCCATAGAAACAGCATAGTTTGAGTATTTCCCAAAGCAAGTTTTGATTCTGCTTAAAGACACATTACTTGAGCAAAATTTACATAAGCAGTTCCATTCCTTTTGCAGAATAGGTGGTGTGTGACATTTATTTAGTAGAGTCAACATTCAGTGTCCTTATGTAAATTTGAATGATTCCCAAGGGTAGATATTTTCATTATTCTCATTTCCAACCCAAATGTAGGTAAAATTGAACATGTATATGTAGCGTGAAACTCCAGCAATGATGCTTCTCAATCTAAACCCCTTGGAAAACCAAGACTTCATGCTGCTCTGAGTATTGGCTACAGGTAATGTCTGTAGACCATTCATTCATTCATTAAGAGCTGGGGCTGGCCAGATAGCTTAGCGGACTAAAGTGCCTGCTTAGGCAGACACAGCAGCTGGAGTGTGATTCCCCAGCATGCTGTGCCAGCCCCACCCCTGAGCCATGCTGAGACAGCAATTGAGACTGGGCGTGGGGGGCGTGCCTGTAATCCCAGCACTTGGAAGGCTGAAAACAGGAGAATCACTATGAGTCCAGTTCTATGTAGTGAGACCCTGTCATCTCTGTCCTAAATACATTTTTTTAAAAAAATTACATTCATTAATAGTTGAGCAAAAGTCTGGTTGTACCTCTGTCTGAATGTGTTAAAATACAGAAGGTACAAAAATTGCAAAGCCTTGTTAAGAAAGCTGTGAAAGGAGCTAGAAGCTGAAATTAGTATGAATAATTTTCACATTTTATGCAAAGGTCAGATAGGAGTAACACAACTCGAGAGTGCTTTATATAGCTGTTATCATTTGCTCTTCTTGTAAGACCCGTAAAGTGAGCCCTGGTGTCCCACTGAACAAGTGAGGCAAATTCTGAGAGCCTGAGGGACCCACCCCACACCCTGCCACACGTAGCAGCCAGGCCCCAGTCCTCTTGCTCCCCTTCCACCCGCCCTCACTCTAAACAGGCACTGTGGCTGAGGGGGCCCAAGAGTACCCCAAAACCCTTTCTCCTGATCCAGTGTGACCTCTCAGGGATAGAAGTAGCCATACATGGGCCATAGATCTTTGGAGAGCAATCCATGCTGAAGGGCAAGAGAAATCCTTGTAGCAGAGGGGCCTTGCGTTCAGCCTCACAGCAGGAGGGAAGGTCCCTGTGTGGAAGGAGGCAGGGGAGATAGCTCAGTAGAATAAGCATTTGCCTGGCAAGTGCAAGAGCCTGAGTTCAATCCCTGGTTCCGCAAAAAAAAAAAAAAAAAAAGGCAGCCTGACTCCAGAAAGCCCAGGAGCCACAAAGAAGGAGAGGTGGGAGACAACCAGAGAGCATTTTTACAATTTATTTATGTGTTTGGTACAGGTTTCGCTACATACCTTGGACTCATAGTGATCCTGCTGTCCTAGTCTCCCCAGCACTGGCATACACCACCACACCTGATCTTGGTGGCAGGCACTGTGCACCTGGGGTTCCAGGGCCAGCACAGTGTGCAGTAGCAGAGATTAAACCTGGGTCTGGCACTTAGACTGCTGAGCTATCTCCCAGGCCCCCAGAGAGCTTTTAATCTTCTCTCTGTGTGTCTCTCTCTGTCTCTGTCTCTCTGTCTGTCTCTGTCTGTCTCTTTCTCTTTCTCTGTGTGTGTGTATGTGTATGTGTGTGTGTGTGTGTGTGTGTGTGTGTGTGTGTACTATGCCATCACAGATACTTGGTATTCCTGCAAATATTGATAGCATAGCCTTAAATAGAAAGCTACACGTAGTAGAAAGCCTGTTGAAATGTAGAAATGTGGTATATTCTTTTAGAGGCCTTGAAGGCCAAGCTGCAGGCCCCTTATGCTTGTCTCAGTTGCCATCTAGTGATGGTCACTAGAACTGCATGTGTGTTCAAAGACAACCGAGCCTACTTCCAAGGCAACAAATCCAGACTGGTTACAGTGACAGATAACACAGCAGTGATCTAGTAGAGCAAACTTTTTAAAGCCATTTCCCAGAGAAGTACTTATTCCACCGAGCCATCTCCCCGGGCCTTAAAGCCATTTCCCTATGAAAATTAGTAGAACCTTTTAAAAATAGCCGTTTCTTTCCCCATGGATGCACCCCCCTCCTGTGCAGGCACCATGAATAGCTGGAGTCCAGCTGTAGCCTGGTGGGAGTGAGCCTGGGTAACTGACCTTCTAGTGTGTGCAGAAGGCTCAGCCAGGGCTGGCAGATAACTCCTAGATGCAAGCGGAGAGCACCAGGCTGGGCATCCTGGGTTTTGCTCCATCTGTGATGTTGAGCCAGTTACTCTGACCCTTTAGGGCTCAGTTTTCTAATGAGAAGTTTATCAAAGAAGACCAGTAGAAAGCAAGTATTTAAAGCCTGTCCTGAGGGAACTTTTGAGTTAGGCTTTGGACTTAGGGGAAAGAGTGATGATCAATTAGTTAGCTTTCCCCTGGGGCAGAAATAAAGGGAATGTGGCCACAATTCACCAGTTGTCTTTCCTAGGCATACACAAAGTGAGTGGTGGCCCGTGTACTACACATTGACTATCCTTCACCTCAGTAACCTCTAAAGGCTGCTTTTCCCAGCCTCCTTTTTCCCAGGACACTGTGACTATCTTCCTGCTCCTGCTCCTGCTCCTCCTCCTCCTCCTCCTCCTCCTCTCCCTCCAGCTCCTGCTCCTGCTCCTGCTCCTGCTCCTGCCCCCCCCCCCCAGCTCAGACTCAGGAAGGTTTGTACAAATATTTGAGCCAGAGTTGAAATGCCTTCCCAAACTACTGGGGAAGAAGGAAGGATTCAGTTTTGAGATTCAGTCTTGTTTTTAAATGCCATGAACCTCAGAAGAAACAGAGGTAATGAATCCACTCTAATGAGAAGGAAGAGAAACTACCATGGCAGTGAAGTGTCTCTTTAAATGCCTATGAGTCTGTAGAGCCCCCGTGTCTAGTGCTAAGGTGTTGTCCACTACAGGGGTGCTGAGGAGCACTGTTCTCCCCTGGCCCCTCGGGGGTACTGTGAGAGTGGCTCGAGACCTGCAGGACCGGACCGCCCCAAGTGGTTAGAGTGGCAGAGGCTCCCATGGCCGCAGGATTTCCTAAAGGTGTTCTAAGATAGTGTGTGTCTTTATGAGCCCCACAGTTCCAATCAGGAGCCAGGGGTCCAAGGAAGAGATTTTGGAAAATAAGTCCTTTGATTGGCCCCCGATGCACCCCTGAGGGAAAACAGGCAAAGTGGAGAAAATATTACTTCCTGGGAATTCTTCCCAACTGCCCTGAAAGTGCTATCTTTCTTACCCACAGTTTCACTTGAGCCTTATGATAACTTGCAGGGGAGGTCTGGGAGAGAAGAGCTGTGAGTCAGGCAGAAAGCAGGGAGCTAGAGGCATCTTCTCTGTCAGAAGGCCCAGAACCTGGGGAGGGGAGTATCACCACAGCCACTGCAGAGCCTGGAAGCAAGGCTCCAAGATGTCCCAGAGCACGCGAGTAGAGGTGAGAACACCTACATTTATAAACAGCCCAGCAAGACCACGCCCTGGGCTAAGCATCGAATGTGCAGCCTCAGCTCATCCTTACGCAGCCCTGTGGGATTCTGCGGCGGCCAGAACAGCAGGGCCAGGATTCACACACAGGCAGCTTGATCTCCATGGCTCTGAAGACCACCCTGGCCATCCTCTCCAGAAGAGTGTTGTCACACCACTGGTGCAGGGACACCAGCCTGGTTAGGGCATGAGCTTAGGCTGCTGCTAGTATGGATGGGCGCTAACACAGGACCAGTTGGATCACCCTGCCACTAGCTATCTGGCAGGGTTGCAGCTTCTATGTCACTTCAGGCCTCTTCCTCCTGTGCCAGGCTGGCGGCCATTGCCCTGCTCGTCCTGGAGGAGGAGGAGAGTGCCTTCTGGTGCCTGGTGGCCATCGTGGAGAGCATCATGCCAGCTGAGTACTACAGCAAGACTCTTATGGCATCCCAGGTAAGCTGGGCAGGGAGGGCACCTGTGGCCATGCAGGCCAGGATCCCTGAGTTGCTCCTCGAAGCCAGTCAATATCAGGACAGTAGGACTCTCTCAGATTTCACATTTCTCCTTCTATCAGATAGTCCCCCTTCTCTTGGGCTCGTGGGAGGGCCTGGCAAGCTGACACCTGTAGAGTTGCTAGGGCTCTGCCCACAGCAACAGTGATGTTAATGTGGTGGTAATCTCAGCTCCTTGGCTTCCTGGGGAGGGGAGGGGAAAATCTAGTCTCTTGCCATTTGTCAGTGAAGAATTTCAGGACATGGGTCAGCAGGATGGGAGGAGGGGAGCATGAGAGGCAAGATGATGTTTCCTGCACACAGCAGCATATCCACGGAGATGCGCTGCCTCTGGCATCTCCTGCTGCACCATTGGCCTCTGGGCGTGGAGTTAGGCAGAGCATGGGCCAGAGCCTGCCCTCCCCTGGCCCGCTGTGTGGCCTTGGCACTTGGTACCGTCTGAAACCCCAAGTCAGCCCACTTTAGAGTGGGCATAGGGTTGCTTCATGGGCTTACATAAATGCAAAGTAATTTCCTACTGCTCTCTGACTCCCAGTTTGACTTGCTCTGTCAGCCCTGCCTGCTTTACTGAGAGAGGCCACTTCCTCCCCTGTATCGCTGCCATGTGCCCGCCATCCTTTCCTCCTGGAATGCCCACCTCCAGAGGTCCTGGACTGTGGATGCTCAGGTGCACACTAAGGAGAGAGAGCAAGACTCAGGAGCTCTCAGAGAGTAGGTGGGAGCCACATACGGACTGCATCTGGCCACTTGGGAGGGAAGCCAGCCTAAGGGGGACTTTAGTAAAGGCACTGTTTTCTTTTGTTCTTGAGAAGCGGTCTCACTATAGAGTCCAGACTGACCTCAAATTCAGCATGATCCTCCAACCCCAGCCTCCTGCATGCTGGGTTACATGTGAATGCCACCTTACTTGGTGATGGGGCAATATTTTTCTCAGTGATGACAAGGTGATACCTGCTCCTTAATGGCATTGGGGATCGGCCTCCTTTCAGCTCCCTACTCTGTCGTCCCTGGCCTGGACTTTCAACCTCATGCTTATCACCTTGGCTCACAAGAGTACTACACCATCCTCTGCCCTGTGTTATGGCCTAGATGAAAAAAAGCAAAAAAGGGAGGAGCTACTTAGCTCTGCCTATGGTCAGAATTGCATCCCATGGCCATGCCCTGAAATCAGGAAAATTGCTGTATTTCTTCTTCATGTCTTAACATCTCTGAATTTTAGGTATGTTTTACTACCCATGTCCAAGCTGCATTTTTTTTTTAATTATAGGGAATTTCTCATATTTAGAAAAAATGGAGAAAATATTATAATGTACCTCCATGTGTCCATTGCCTAGTTTACTTATCAATCCAGGGAAGCCAGTCCATTGCCTAGTTTACTTATCAATCCAGGGAAGCCAGTGCTATCTCATTCTCCTCCACCTTCTCCTGCCTAATAGTCTTGATGAACATCTCAGACAACACCTCAATTCATCCATGAATCCTGCAAGAGGTTCAGTGGCATCTTAGTGTGGTGCCTGGGATTCTGAGCTGGAGGCCCTGTGGGCCTCCACTGCAGTCCCAGGGTTCTGGGTCAGGAAAGGAGGGAAGCCGCTGGGTGCTTGCTATGGTGGACACCACAACCTAGGACTTCGGTCAGAGAGAACTGAGCACCCACAGTCCAGAGGAAGAAACTAAAATAGGGCATCATAGAAGAGGGAAGCAAAATAAGCCAGGGAAGGAGCCTGTGCTAGATGGTCCTTACATTTTTTTGGCACCAAACACTTGTTTCATCAAAGACAAACATTGCCCCCAGGGATGGGGGTATGGTCTGGGGAAGACTCAAGTGCATTACATTGATTGTATACTCTGTTTCTACTATGATTACATTATAATACAAATGAAATAATTATAAAACCTGTGAGCTTGGTTCCCAGCATCTAATCTAGAAGTGTTGGGAGAGTAACACCTGAGATGCTGCTTATGTTGTGTCTACTCTGTAATCTTGTTTTAGTTTCTGTCACTGCAAAAAACCCTGCTTCACAAGGACAGGCTGTTGGAAGTAGAAGCAGGCCTTCCAGTGCTTTTGTGGCTAGATCTTCTAGCATGAAGTCAACTTAACCTGGCTCGTCACAAATGGATTGCAGATCCATTCCTCCCCATGGCAGGGTCTTTTGTGGTTGGGAGAACTGAGTTAAGGCAATATTTTAATGTGTTTTCTAACTTCAGTCACATCCTACAAAACATTGTTAAGTTCAGGTGACTTTTTCTGGCCTAGCCAGCACTTCTTATGGACTGCATAGTGCGTAGTTCAGAAACAACCTCTTTAACCTGAGTGGTAAAATCAGAAAGATGTCCAGTCCTGGCAGGCACTCCATCTGTGCATGCAGCAACACAAAATGAGCTATTTAGTTTTTCTGATGTGCAATCAATCATTCAAAGGCTTTAACAGTTGTACAGCTGTGGTGTTGGTTAGCAACAGAAGTGCACATGACATATCCTCATGCACATCCCCCTGAAAAATACATTGCACAAAAACAAGCATTGCCTTGCCTTCCTGTCCCATGGGTAGATTTGTCAACCTAAATTTCATTCCACTGTAATTAATTAGTCCTATTTAACAGTTGTGCCTCAAATTGGGCATGGTAGGGCACGCCTGTAATCCCAGCACTCAGGAAGCGAGCCAGGAAGATTGCCATGAGTTCGAGGCAAGCCTGGGCTATGTAGTGTGTTCATGGTGAAATTTGACTACATAGTGAGACCCTGTCTCAAATTTTTTTTTTAAAAGTTGTGCCTCAGTATCTTCAACTGTTTCATCAATTCATCTAATTATAATGCTAACCAAAAGAGGAAAATATGCCACTTTTTGAAATATAGCCTTTCTAAAAGCTCATTAGAAATGTCCTCAGTAGGAAACAGGATCATCTCTTCAGAAGAGATGGGCATCTCAGCTTCAGCAATGCAATTAGCACTAAGAATGATGCTCTCAGTACAGACACATGACATGGGGCCTTCAATAATTGCTTCACACATGACATGGGACCTTCAATAATCGCTTCTATTCCTTGTGTTTACATATTTGTTCTTTTTAAAAACTCCAAAGGCTGGTCTTTTAATGCAGGATGCTTGGTCTACATGTAGCAAAACAGGTTTAAAAGTTTCATGGCTTTGTTGAAAGCCCATTGCTATGTATTATATACAAAGGAGGTTTGGAGAATCATCATCCATTGCAATTGAACCTTTAATAGGACTCTTGGTATTTTCCTGTAAGAGCAGCTTGCTTGCTTGCTTGCTTGCTTGCTTGCTTGCTTGTTTGCTTGCTTTTTGACAGTCTCCTGCTGTCTCATTTTTGGGTCTTTCCCCCTTTTTTTTCTTTTTGAGACAGGGTCTCGCTATGCAGCTCAGGCTGTCCTTGAGCTCACTTTGTAGCCCAGGCTGGTCTCAAATGTGCAACAATCCTCCTTCCTCAGCCTCCTGCGTGCTGGGATTACAGGTGTGCACCACCATGACTGGCTCTTCTGCATATTTTCATCATACCCCCTCTCACTTTTTCAAGAATATTTTTACTTTGGTGGTCTTTTCTCTCAAACATAACCTCTTTCTGTCCATGGAATCATTCATGTGTGTTCTGCTATTTCACTTGAATTTTTTTTTTTTTTTT